ATTAACGAAAATTGAAAATATTTCAACTGATACCTGTAACAAAATAAATAAGAACGAAATTAATGTTTCAGCAATACCCATATCCTGTGATAGTGTAAATGACAAAAATTACAAGAAACTATATGATAGCATCATTGATCTGCATGCTAAATTAGATAGTCGCTTCTCAAACAATAAGACACAATCAGATCAGAGTTCTGATTTATTATTAATAATTGATTCTTTAAGCAAAAGGATTGATTCCTTTACTTCAGACACAAAAATAAAAACAAATTTCAGCACAACTCATCTAAATACACCAATCAGTAAATTATCCAAAACTGATCCTTTGGATTGGACGTTTCACTTCGGGCACTCTCCGATCGTAGCACAATCAACGGATAATTCTGATATTTTTTCATTACTCCATGGTTTTGAACGCAACACCTGGGCATCTCTTGACTATTTGAGAAATAAAATCACTGAGAATAATGAATTGGTTTCAACTATTCATTCTACCATGTCTACAATTGCTCGGGACAATAGAAGTGAATTTTTAGCCACTTCGGCATTGACAGCATCACATGGATCAGCCTTAACAGAAGCAATATCAATTGATCTTATACACGGAATTCAAGATAAATGTGATAAAATTGAAAAGAAATGCGATCAAATTGATGAAAAGGTCACAGTTCTATCTGAAAATTCGGTACTTAAAATCATGGACAATCTCAGTTCACTTGACCATTCAAGCAGTGCGAGTGAACTTTTGAATAATTTTGCCCCTGAAACACAAAAATCGGACGTCTCCGCTACACTTATTGAATCGATTACCACTGATAATTTGGCAAGTAACTTTTTCGGAGCTCAAGAAACAAACAACGAAGATAATGGCGTATTGCAAACAACATCAATTGAAAGTGTTTTATTGGACCCTTCATCTGTAAACTTACAAGCGGTTGACTTGTTTTTGAATGATGCAACTAAGACAGCATTGAGTGCAAACACAATGGCACATAGTCATTCTTCGAATGAGAATGAAGGGGAATCATTAACATCTTTAACTGATCAATCGATTAATGATGCAACGAATGAGTTTTATTTGTCTAAATTTAAACCAACCACATCATGTCAAATGATTCTTGATTATATGGCCACAAGAGGCGTTCCAAAACCACTTCTGAGCAACATAAAAGTTTTTCGACTGGTGCCGAGAACTCGTGATGTATCTGCTTTGTCTTTCGTTTCTTTCAAAATTGATGTCAACGATGAAGTGGCAAGTATTATCACAAAAATAAATTTTTGGCCATCGTCATGTATAATTAAGAATTTTGTACACAAAACTAAGTCAATTATTGACTTGTCAACCGACAATGGGACATCTAATAATAGGGTTTTCGATCAAAATTTTCGGATAAGTCCATGTCACAACTCCGCAACGAGGACCTTGACGTCGGATCGTTAAAAAGCTCTTTGAATATTTTTTGCGAAAATATTGACGGGATTTCTAATCACAAATGTCCCGATCTGCTTCAGTCATCAGCATCAGCTGAATATGATATTATTTTACTTAACGAATCGTGGCTGGACCACTCGCGTAAAAGCTCCGAATTTATGGACAGTCGTTATACTGTATATCGTAAAGATAGATCATCAACTACAATCGCAAATACGGCCTCAATAGGAGGCGGAGTTCTTATAGCAGTGCTCAATAACTTATGCTGTGAGGAATACTCATTCGATAAAATAAAAGACTTGGAAGCGATTTGTGTAAGAATATCATTATCATCGAGTTTTACTTACATCTATTGTTTATATATTCAACCAACGGCTACTTTGGACACATACAAGTCCCATGTTGATGCAATTGAATATATCTGTGAGATTATAGGGGGGTCAGACACCCTCTTGATATATGGGGATTTCAATTTTGGAAACTCCGTTGATTGGTATGAGAATGATTCCGGAATTGGTTTTGATTATCTGCCAATGATCGGTGAGTCACAGTCTGCAAAGTCGATCATTGCGAGAGAAGCAACAAACAGATTGCTCAACTGTGGTCTTTTTCAATTATCCAATTTTAAAAACAATTGCGGAAATGTGCTGGATTTGATCTACACCAATAGTCCTGAGCTTGCTGTGGTTACCAGAGCTGAAATATTAATGATTCCGTCGTTTAAAAGTGACAAAAGCCATGTTCCATTATTTTGTTCTGTTGATTGTATTCCACGCATTGAAAACAACATATCATCTGAAGCAGTTTTCTGCTTCAAAAAAGCTAATTATGATTTAATTAGAGATCATTTAAAGGATCTGGATTTTGGCAAAGAAATGAACTATGACAACAATGATATAAACATTATTACAACGAACCTATACAATACTATTTATAACACATTTGAGAAATTCGTGCCATCAACTTTAGCTCGATCTTCAAATAAACCAAGGTGGTTTGATAAGAAATTGGCATGTCTGAAAAATGCACGTAATAAAACTTTCAAGAAGCTATGCACACTTCGAGGGCAGACAGACATCGACATTGCTCCAATAAATGAACAGTTTTTGAATGCTCGAGAGGATTTTGAATCATATCGTAAACAACTATTCAGCGATTATCTTCGTGAGCAAGCAACAAATCTCAGGAATGATCCGAAATCTTTTTGGCGTCACATTAATAGTAAGCGAACTTCAAATAATATCCCATCAACTGTTATTTACAGAAATGAGCAAGCGTCAGATGAGAAAGAGAAGGCTAATCTTTATGCTAAATTTTTCCAAACGGTTTATGAAAAATATGATAATGGGGATTTCAACATTCAGAGCTTTTTGGCAAGTAGAAATGATGTCAGTTGTTATACCATTGAAATTACCATAGAAATGGTCTACTATGTACTAATTACCATGGATGTTAATAAGGGGAGTGGCAACGATGGCATATCACCTATTTTCTTGCGAGAATGTGCGGAATTTCTAGCTGAGCCATTGAGTATCTTATTTAATAAATCCATTCGAAATGGAGTCTATCCGGATGCCTTCAAGATGGGTCAAATAATACCCATATTCAAGAATGGGCGCAAAACTGACATCGAAAATTACCGGGGAGTAAATATACTACCTGGATTGGCCAAAGTTTTTGAGAGGGTTATGCATAACTATCTCAAACTTATAATTCCATCTAAAATATCGGCATCCCAGCATGGCTTCGTATCAAATCGGAATATAGAGACAAATCTCATGGAAATAACTACACTGGCACATAGGGCCTATGAAAATAAAACTCAACTTGATATTTTCTATGCTGACATTAGTAAGGCGTTCGACACAGTCAATCCAATCAAACTTATTCAAAAAATCTCAAAATTTCGTATCTCCAATGACATCATAAATTGGCTATTTTCTTACTTAAATAATCGTAAGCAATACGTTAAAATAGGATCATCTAAATCTGATCTCATTGATGTTTTATCGGGTGTTGGCCAGGGCACTATTCTGGGTCCATTATTATTCATCATTTTCTTTGACGATTCTAATATTAACCTGCCTGGCGTTCACAATTCAAATTTTGCCGATGACAAGAAGTTAGCATTGGAAATTAGAGATCATAGAGATTCGGAAAAACTACAGTTAGCAATCAATATGTTTTTGGACTGGTGTGACAATAACGACTTAAAAATTAATCACAGCAAATGTAAGCTGTTTTCATTGTATACAAAACGATCGCCCATAGTGAATAAATATACAATTCGTGACAAAATAATTGAACGTGTGGATGAAATCCGCGATCTTGGTGTGATCCTCGACAGAAAACTAAGCTTTAAATCACATATTGAATTCATTTGTAATAAGGCGAACGCAGCATTGCAATTTGTAAAGCGACAATCTTTCTATTTCGACAAAGACATAATACGAATTTTATATATGGCGCTGGTTCGTTCAAATCTTGAGTTCGCAAGCACTATTTGGTCACCATATCATACTACACAAAAAAGACAAGTAGAAAGCGCACAGAAACAAATAATTATGCTGTTGAACGGTGATTTTCTTCGTCAAATGAACGGGGACTATATTCTTCGACCATACACCGAACGTTGCATGAATTTTGAATTATCCACGCTTATTCGCCGTAGAGTGAACGCTTCGGTATTGTTTATTCATTCCATCATTACTGGCAAATATAAATCGCCTCATCTTATGTCGCAAATAAATTTGAATAATGGACAAAGAACATTAAGGAATCCTGAATTTATCCGACTAAAGACATATTCTACTGAGCACACGACTATGTCACCATTCAATAATGCATGCAGGGCATTCAATTATGCAACTTTGTTTATTGACCCATCACTATCGCATTTTCAATTTCGTCAAAAGTTGTTACAACTACCAGACGAAGTATTTGGACCATGGGCCATTCTGTGACAGAAAGGGAGAATTTTTGTTTGTGCTTTCTTTTTATCGGACAATTACAATAAAAAACGAAAGCGCAACCCCAGTTGATCGATCGAGGGTAATATGGAGATCTGGGCCTGATCCGTGGACTAAAATTATGATATGCTGTGATTTTCTGAGAGGCCACTTATTTACGATGATGAAAGTGCCTGACAATGATATTAAATAGAATCTACTATCCCTTATATTGAGAAATCCTATATACTACTTATTTATTCACCTACCTATCTTATTTAAATCAAAACTCAAATTAATTACTCATATTTAACTTATTGCTTTGATTGTGAAATCCTAAAATTGTTAAAACACCTAAGTTCAGCCAGCATTTGGCGGTGAAATAAATAATAATAATAATAATAATAATAAATATCCAACCGCCAAATCAGCCCATTTTTCTGCCACATATGTAACTGGCGCAAAAAAGAGCCCATTGGTGAATTTCAAGCAGAAAAAGATGTCACCAGTCATATCAGTAGCATCTGAAAGAAAAATATTCGTATTAAGTGTATGTTATTTACTTGGAGCCGTGCAAGTAGACTTATGCAGAAAAACCCGTTCTCAATAGTGTGAAATTAGGCAGACCTCAATCGGTTTTTGTGCATAAAGAGTTGAATAATGTAAATATCCTTACAAATAATGTCTGGAACCTCTTCGGCTGGGACTTCTTCAGTTGAAAGAACATTGTTTGGAGATGCACCCGCTACTTCTTCATCAAAACCATCGAAAGAGATTTGAGAAATCAAAAATTTCAACAAATCTTTTGACCAAATGCTTGCTTGTGCACTGTATTTGAGGATCGGCTCATTTTCGTCGTGAAATTGCATTAAATACAACACTTGTCCTCCTTTCTTGCCCACACCAAGAACCGTGACTGCACGTGATTTGTTGAAATCCGCCAAAAGTTCATCACAATTGAGATTTTCTTCTGGTTCCCAGGTGTTGTAGCGGTTATTATAACCAACCCATTTTAGATAGTAGTAGGTCTGAATATTGAGGTTATGAGAATTTTGTTATAAAGTTATAATATTTATTGCGTCAGTATTGTATCACATTTAGAACTTCGAAAAGAAGTTTTTTGTGCTTATTTCAATGAACAGTGAATAGAATTTCATGACGGCGCACTATTAATATTGTCAGTACCGATCAATACGCGTCAAAACGATTTCAATAGTTTCATATTTGTACATTTTGATTTTGAGATATTCGAAGATTTTAATTGAATATTGATGAAAAATGCATACCTTTTCATTTCGGATTTCCTGTTTAAGGATTTTCTCCACTTCGTATTCCATAGTGCTCGACTTTTCACGACTGTTCTTTATTATTTCGTTTCGATTCGTTTATTTTTTTTCAATTAAATACGAATAAAATCCAAACAAGTTTCATTGATTCTCAACGTCTCAACAGTAATGACACTTTTCGCGCTCCTTTCAATTTTTATGTTTGTCTGATGACATTAAGTGTCAAATGATGTCAGATGCTTTATGTGTCAAAGCAAAAAAGTGGTTCAATAGCGTTCAATACATTTTATTTCGCGCTTGACTCCAAAAGTGTCACATCAAACAGAGAAATACACGTTACAATCGCGTTTATCATTATATTAGTTGATAATTACTGGAAAATTAATTCGAAAACAAAAAAAGAGTGGAAATTTGAAAAAAATCACAAGGGTATGATATTTTTCGTCATCTTAATAGTTCAGTAGAAATGATAACACGTAAGCAATACAAATAGCAATGTGATAAGAAGAGTTCACAATTTTTTTAGAAAATATATCAAAAAAATGGAATTTAATAGAATAGAAATAGTGCAATTGCATATACATTTACTATGTGTACAAGATGAAAATGTCCAACTTTCTATCTTGTCCTTGCGTTTGTTTGTATTGGATCGCGTTTTATTTTTTTTATTTTTCGCTTTCATTCATGATTATTTTCAAATATATTCGAATCGAACTAGGAAGTACGATATTAATTTTATATATTAATTTTATATGAACAATTGTTCTTCGTTCTTTTTGCTTAACAGATCATTTAATGCTGATACAGTTTTGTGTGTGTTGGTGTAAGTGCAATAAAAATGGCTGAAATCAGAAAATTGGAAGACTACTTGTCCAGTCGGCCAATTGGACCGATATATGAAGATTCACGTGAAAGAGGTGATTTGATAGCTATCAAATTAATGTGTGTCATCGATTATTACACCGAGAATGGTAATTTATACCCGGAAATCTTGGCTAAACCAAAAATGTTGCAACAATTGATGCGATTCCATTCATATGCAAAATTCAACTTTATCAAGTGTAAAGTACATCAAGCAATCAGCAAAAGTACATACCAATTGAAATGCAAATTCTGTTCGTTGATCGGACCATATTCATTGATTATGACTCATATGATTATCTCGCATAACAGTCACATCGGATTGAAAATGTGTGCATATTGTAATCGGGAATCGATTGCCGAGCACGACAAAAATAAGACATTGTCAGATTGTTATGCAAATTATTTAACGAAAAACACAATTAATCTTGACAGTAATGAAACAAAAAGTATGATCTCCATCGTCATCAAATTCTACGGGATGCTTGAAAATGTTGCCAACGCCCTTGGCGTGAAAGTTAGACGAAATGAACATTTTTCTGGTTCGGGATATTTATCCATTGAACCTATTCCGCAAGGAATTCCCAACTTTCCAAGAAAATGTACAGTTATCAAACCAAGAATCGGTCCCACAAAGAAAATGATACACGAGAAATTGGAAGGTGTTTTCGATTCTATTGTCGAGATTGTTTTTGGAGGCAACAAAAATCAATGTGTTTCATCCGCGGACTCAAATGATAGTGAATCAGTTTTGGTTAGTAGCGACAGCGACAACGACGACGACAACAACACAAATCAACAATACGGTAAATACTACGGAAGTTCAGTGACAGTGAGTGTTTTTTGTTTATTTATCACGATCCCAAGCGTTTTTATATAGTCTAACTAATCGCAATTTTTTGATATTTTCATTCGATACAGTTACGTATAAAAACAGAGTCCCAAGATGACAATAGCAGTGATACATATGATGAGGAACAAATGCCGAAAACAGCAAAAAGAGCCTTCAGACCAAGAATTGATTCATCATGTGATGAGGGTGAACTGACTGTAACATCAAGAAAAAGAACATTCAGCTCAACATTTGATGATGCACACAATGGATGGGCATCGATCAATGATGCAACGCAGCACCAGTTTTCACCGATAATAAAAAATGTTGGTCAGGTATCGGAAAACAATTGGCTCGAATGCAAAACCGAAGCAGAAATCACTGACATCGAAATCGAACATCTTGAGAGATTTGGTAAGCTTGTAGCATATCGCATACAAAACATATCAAATAAAAGCAAACGGCTACAAGTTGAATACGCTATAGAAGAAATCTTGCGGAAAGCTCGTGTAGGTTAATGATTCAACTGAATTTTAAAAATCGTTAAACGATAGTTATTTTTTGTACCAAAATATCTCTTTTTTTCTATTTAATCTCTTTTTCAAAAGAAAAATCGACAAAATTCATTCTTATTTCATTCTTATATTACATAAAAGTATGTATATTACTAAAAAAATCATATGAAATTTGTAAAAATTAAAAAGTAAAATTGTAAAAATTAGCTATATTTTTTCAATGAAAGAAACTCTCAATTATAATCTATAGATCAAATGTTTTTTCATATTTTCCATTAAATTGATGTTGTTGGTATTCAATAAAAGTCTTATTTTAATTAGTTTATGTAATGAGCAGCTTATTTAGAGCTTGTGCATTTGATAATGGCTTTGATAGAATTGCAATGACATATGCAATGACATATGCAACGACAAATGCAACGACAAATGCAACGACAAATGCAACGACAAATGCAACGACAAATGCAACGACAAATGCAACGACAAATGCAAAGTCAACGACAACGACGACGACAATATATTTCTGCGATTTCGATGATTTTATTTTTTCACCTGCCCGGTTAAGGGTCAGTC